CAGTGGCTGTTTTAATGAGTGAGTCATTTATTAATTCATTCAAATTACATAAATAGTGTTACACTGAATTACAGTGTAACATTATTTCAACCAAATTTTGACATTTTATTCTCCAAAAACGTATTTGAAACCTTAAAAGTAGACACTTTACTTACATTTAATGTGCTTTCTATGGACATAAAATCACTTTTGTAAATGTATTTTGATGCGGACGTCTATTTGACCCACATACTGTGAGCAAGGAATCTAACCTGAGACAGTCCAAATGAGGTAGATTGTGTTCTTCCAATTGAAAGGTAAGCTTTCCCTTTTATATTTTTTAATCTTCAATCTATCTTTCATTCAGTGCTTTCAATTCAATCATTTAATCAGTAAATATAGCTAGAACAGAACCACATTAACAATATAACTAAATGGAAGAGCATCCTCTTGTGCCTTTTGTCATATTTTATATAATCACATTTAATGTTTTGAAAAGTTAAATAAAAAAACTGATTCAGAAGAAAAATGCTAAGTAAAAGTAAAATGGTAAAAAGCATGTTTTCTATTGTAAGATAACAGCTTCTACTTTTGTTTAAGCTATTTAATATGCTTGGTTTTTTATTTCACGTCCTTGATTTTCAAGCACTTTCTTCAATAGATAGTAATTACTCTAAAAGTCTTAAATCTTGAATAAATGGCTCCTCTAAAGTAGTATAATTTCACCCAGTGTATTGAAGGTGAATGCATCATGTTAAAACAACATCAATAGCAGAGAAGCAGGGATTTACTTGCACATTCATTTTATTCTACAGAACTACAGAGAATGTAATCACTGGCACACTGAGCAAGCCTTTCAGAAAGATCCACGTGAGAGCTTCACTCTTCATCATGCCCTTTCTGTGAGGAAGAGACATGAAAAGGATAATGGGTAGAAGGTACTTTCTTCTTTTCTTTTTTCAGCTGAAAAAAAAAGTTATGTATTACTCAGACTTTGTTTACTAGAGATGCACCGATTGCAAGTGTGACCTGGCGATACCGATTTTTGCAGATTCTGATTTTCTTTCTAAGAACTATAATTGACAGCATATACAAACAATGCATTTTCAATGCAAATAATAATAATACATTTACATAATAAAATAAATTATTAAACATCACAATTCCCCCAATCTGGACTAAGTTACAGATGTTCCCTCACTTAAACAACTCTCAAAATAAAGTGCTCTGTGACTGGAACGAGGTAGAAATAACAATTAACTGAAAATGAGTTGCTGTATATAACGAACTCCTTTCCCACTATGTTTATAAATGGAAATTTTTCCCCTAACCTTATTTAATGCATCATCTTTCACATCAAATTCTTACATTGTTTCAATTAATTCAGAGTAATAAGAAACTAGAGTTGTTACCATTCAAATGAAATCACTATCAACAAACAGCATCTTTCCACTGCAGGACACACAGAAGCTGCATCTGAAGTGGCATTAGATGTGTTTATACACACTGTTTGATTAAGCTGAGGTGCCATAAACCGCAAAATTGCAAATGCATAAATAATTTTATAAGACTAATGTTTTAAATAATTTTGTGAACATTCAAATAAGAAATGATGGGGAAAATGCAATGATACTTTTAAATATGAAACCAAATCACCAGTAGGTGGCAGTGGCTGTTTTAATGAGTGAGTCATTTATTAATTCATTCAAATGGCTGATTCATTCAGTAATGAGGCCAAGTGACTGTCTTTATGAATGGGTTACTGAGTCATTGACTTCCTCGATTTGTTCAAACGTGGATTCATTCAGTAATGAAACACAACTGTGTGTTGCCGGGAGACACAACAGTTCTGCTGTGGCTTTGATTGGAACTATTTTCGTTTGCGAAGTCAATATTGTGTCTAAAATGTAAGTCACTTAATTTAATCGTCTTGTTTATTGAACTACTGTTGTATAAAATCAGTGTCATATTGCAATCATGCTGATATTCGGGGAAACATTTGGTCGTGTAATGTTGCTTATCATATATTATAAATATCTTTTTTTTTTTATGCGTGAATCTATAGCTTTCTGTGGGTGCTGTTTTTGGGGGCCAAGTTTCAGTGCTTCCCTAGCTACGTTTGTTATTGACATTTTAATCAGGCTTCTTGTCCGGTCGGGTAAGTAAAATTCTCTCTCACTTGCCTTTTAAAGAATCTACTTGTCCCAGACAAGCATTAATCAAGCCCTGTGGTTTCCCCACGGTTTACTTTGGCCCTACAAGTATTACAAATTGTGAAATTTGTGTCTTATTAACTCACAGTGAAGAACTTCCACGCCGACGACATGTTTATATGCGGATGTGAGCGTAGCTGTGACATCAAAACCGAATCATGCGGAACATCAGCTAATTCCAGTCCCTGGCCGGTCAATCGGTGCATCTCTACTGTTTAGTTATAATTGAATTTAATAATTTTAATAATAATAATTTATGCATTTAGCTGACGCTTTTATCCAAAGCGACTTACAGTGCATTCAGCCTATACATTTTTTACTATCAGTTATGCATCAGCTCTAAAAAGCTCATTTTGTTTATGCAGTTGTTTCTCCATAACTTTGTAGAGTTAAAGAGTTATCTTTACAAAAAAAAAAAAAAAGATAATGCACATGTGCACCACTTCATACACTGGGTATGCACTAAAGAACCCGTGTTGGTTTTGAGTAATAAATCTAATCAAATTGATTTAAACTATTTCATCAGGCAAACTGTTTTTCCAATTGATCACAATAATTTCAGAATCAAAGTAATCCAAATTTTGAGCTCACTGATGGTGACTGTATATTGAATGGAGGTCAGTTACCTTGTATCACGGCTCTTAGCTCTCAGCTTGTTGACCTGAGATTCAGCAATATCAGCCCTCTCTTCTGCTTCATCCAGCTCATGCTGAACAATAATTCATGTTCGGTAAGTGATTGGCGATTTTTTGAATTCCCAAAATCAGACCAAAAAGTCATATTTTGTAAATTTAACTAAATTACATTTTAAAATGTATATTACGGTGTTCTAAATTTTAAGATTTGAAAATATTTCCAGTAAAAAAAAAATGTATGAATAAAAATAAAACAATCATCTTAAACATACAGCTTCCTCGGCAGATCTGTCAGCTGCAGTTTGTCCACCAGGTCCTGCAGGCGACTCAGATTCTACGATCCTCCTCAGTCTGCAAACAGAGTACAACATGATTTCATTGTGTCCCTATTTTTTTTAAACGATGAATGGTATGAATTTGAGACATTTATTTGTATGTCAGTGAAAGTGACCTGGTAGGTGAGCTCCTTGATGCACCTCTCATATTTACGCTCACTCGCTCGCCTTTCTTTTTTTTCTTTTTTTTCCAGCTCTCTCACCTAAGAGTTGTATAAGATATTTAGCTAATCAAACAAAATAAGTATGTTAATTACAGAAAAAGAAAAAATATACTTTCCGAAAACATCAGCAGCTTACCCTGGCTTCCAGTTTCTGGACCTGCTTCTTGCCTCCCTTCATGGCGATCTGCTCAGCTTCATCCAGACGGTGCTGCAGGTCCTTGATGGTTTGCTCCATGTTCTTCTTCATGCGCTCCAGATGAGCGCTGGTGTCCTGCTCCTTCTTCAGCATGAAAATGTGTTATGGTTGTTAACAGTATGTTAATGATGAAGGGTTGTTAATCGAGGAGTAGTCTTCACCTGCTGGACATTCTGTCCCTTGGTGACCCACTCATTCCCTACTTTGACTCTCGGGTGGCACAGAGCCTTGATGAGATCAGCAGAGTTCAGGCCCATCAGATAAGCTGATTTATCAGCATCTGTTGCCAAAAATAGAATTAGAATAGAATGGTTAATGGTAACAAATTTCTTGCTTAATCAAAATCACAGAAACTTGTTGTCAATCCTGCCCAAAGAAATTGTATCAATAAAATTGCTATTGAAAAGCTACATTACATTTCTCAGTAAGGAGTTGGTAATGTCACTATTGTTTTTTTTTTTTGTCACTGTGTCTGATTTAGAACAAGCTGAATTCTATTTTGAGAGCAATTAAGGAAAATAACCTTTTTTATCCTTCCAGTCAAAAACAAATGACAGCTTCAACTTTCAATACTGGCAAGTGAGCATGGCAGGTTAAGCGTGGTAATCATTGGCTAAGTGTGCCTCATTTTGGGTGGTTCTTTACCTCCAAGTTATGAATTTAAATGTTTAATTCACCTACATATGCATCCTGTCAGCATTTTCTCCTGATACTGACCCTCAGTCCCATCAGCCTCTGCCTGTTCCTCGCGTTGCTTCTGCTTGAACTTCATGTTGCCGTAGTGCATGATGGCACCAATCAGCTTGTAGATGCCGTTCTTCTCCTCTTGGGTGAAGCCCAGCACATCAAACGCTTCCTACAGCAAATGTACAGTGTGTCTAATAATTCATTGCATTACATTGCATGTTATATGGACTTCAGTTCTAAAGCTTGAGAAGTTAATATCAACAGATTTACGCATGTTTTGGATAACGCACATCTGTAGCCATCAGCTCGTCAGCATCATTAATAGAGGCCACTTGTGTCTCTCCTTGAGAGATGAAGGCGTAATCATAAGGGTTTGCTGTGATCAGCAGCATCTCTGAGAGGACAGAAATATGTTTTAATACTAATACAAAAACAACTTTGTCTCATCACTTGTGATTTTGCTTACCCAGCAGTTCTGGTTTCTTCTGAGACAGGATCTGGTAGAAGATGTGGTAATCTCTCTCAGCCTTGAGCTGGAAAGTCACACGAAACAGATCTGTTTGTATAAATGCAGAAGTAAAGCTTTTACCATCAACTCATTCAACTTTAAGAATGAGAAAAGTTAGAAAGTATTTATCAAAGATTGTTCTTACAAGTCTCAATATCAGCAGAAGCAAGCTTTCCACTGGCAGCAAAGTGAATGCGGATGAACAACAGTTTAAAACAACAGTCATCAATGTAAATGCATTGGGGTAAATGAAACAAAACAGGAGGTACACAACTCACAAAACGAGATGAGTTGTCATTTCTGATGGTCTTGGCATTCCTGAAAGCCTTTAGAGCAGGATTACACTGGATGATTTGATCCTCCAGAGTACCTTAGTAAAACAGAGAAGGTATAGACAGTAAAACAATAGAGCAGAGAATTTTGTGTTTTGGCTGATTGTTAGAATAAAGTTTTTTTGATTATGTTAATGTAAATTACTCTACAAACATACACCTTTGACCTCATTACCTCAGTATTTTAGCAAAATTAAGTTCTCTTTTTTGTGGAATAAAGTATGAGTGACCCCTGCTGGCTTTATGTTTGTGTCTTCTTTCATTTTGAGACCACAGCTTTCCCCTGTCAAATAAACTCTTCTCATGCGGGAGAAAAGCTGTGTGTGTGTGTGTGTGTGTGTGTGTGTGTGTGTGT